GGGGGGAAGAAGGCTCAGAGGAGGATGAGAAGGGGGGAGGAAGGTTCAGAGAATGAGGAGAAAGATGGAGGAGGAGGAGGAGGTGGGAGGAAGGCTCAAGAGGATGAGGAGGATGAGGAAGGCTCAGAGGATGAGGACGATGAGGATGAGGGAGGAAGGCTCAGAGCTGGATGATGAGAATGATGATGAGGATGATGGGAAGAAGGCTCAGAAGACGAGGAGGAGGAGGAGGAGGAGGAAGGAAAGCTCAGAGGATGATGATGAGAGGAAGGCTCAGGCGAGGATGAGGAGAATGATGAGGAGGCACAAAGACTCAGAGCATGATGAAGAGAGAGGAAGGCTCAGAGGATGAGGAGCATGAGAAGGAGGCAGAAAGGCTCAGAGGAGGATGAGGAGCAGGGAAGAATGCTTAGAGAACGATGAGGATGAGGAAGATGATGAAGAGGAAGGAGGAAGGCTCAGAGGAGGAGAAGCATGATGCTGAGAAGCAGGGACGAAGGCTCAGAGAAAGAGGATGATAATGAGAAGGAGGAAGGCTCAGAGGAGAATGGGGAGGAGGGAGGAAGGCTCAGGATGATGATGAGGAGAAGGAGGAGGGAGGAAGGCTCAGAGGATGAGGAGAATGAGGAGAAGAAAGAGGAGGAGGAGCATGAGCATGACGATGATGATGGTGATGAGGAGGAAGGCTCAGAGGAGGAGGAGGATGAGGAGGAGGAAGAGGAGGAGGAAGAGGAGAATGAGGATGCTGATGGTGATGAGGAAGGCTCAGAGGAGGAGGACGAGGAGGAGGATGATGGTGATGAGGAGGAAGGCTCAGAGAATGATGATGAGGATGAGGAAGGCTCAGAGAAGGATGACGATGAGAAAGATGATGATGAGGACGGTGATGAGGAAGGCTCAGAGGAGGAGGATGAGGAAGGCTCAGGGGAGGAGGACGAGGAGGAGGATGATGGTAATGAGGAGGAAGGCTCAGAGAATGATGATGAGGATGAGGAAGGCTCAGAGGAAGATGAGGAGGAGGATGAGGAAGGCTCAGGGGAGGAGGATGCGGATGAGAAAGGCTCAGAGGATGAGGACGGCGAGGAGGAAGGCTCAGAGGAGGAGGAGGAGGAGGCTGACGAGGGCGAGGAGGAAGGCTCACCGCGGCAGTCGGGGCAGAGCCAGCGGCAGCGGCGTTGCCCGGGCAGCGTCACCCCCGGGAACAGGCGCTGGCAG